GAGGTAGATTTTCAAAACAATTTCCTGGTCCTGGGTGATGATGCTCATCATTTGAAGTTGATTTCCTTCTCTTGCTTTCTCTCTCAATTTCCATGTCTTCCATGACAAATGTGAACATGTCAAGGGTTGAGTTCATGGCTAGACTGCTTAAAGTCGCAGGACGGAATGTGTGTGTGTGTGTGTAGGTCCGACGTATTAATTGGACTCTAGCTGGCGTCTTTTTTCAAATGGGGCGGAGATATCCAGAGAAAGAAAGAATATGCTTTGTTTCACGAAGGTTGATGCAAGCACGGCAGGGCCTAATAAAATTGAGTTCACACATGTTAGCATTCATGTATGAATTGATATGCCCAAAGTATAAATAGTCACTCATAAATATACACTTATGCACAAATAAAAATAAAATGAGGATTTTATGTTTTCTTTCAGGGATAATTTCAGGAACCTCCCTTGAGGTTTAATGACAATTTTACCTAACACCCCTATTATTTTGAATATTGCTGATACCGGATTTGGGTAACAAAAATCAAATTAAATACCCAATCTACCCTTTTGCTAAAAAAAGAGAAGAAGAAAACAAACTACTCTAACGCTTTCATTTTAAGTGTCAAAACCAGTACTGCTAATACTTTTGCCACTACCAACACCATAAGACCACTAATGCTAATACTTTTGCCACCATAATGGCCACAAGTAAAATCATTCAAAATGTGTCTCACATTTTCCCAAATGTTTTTTTTTTTTATTTTTAAAATAGTAACATTATGTCCCATATAAAATTGAATCGATAAAATTTGGTCTCAACTTAAATTTTTGATTATTTTTTACCTTGAATCTATCACATGATCCACACATAATTATTTTTTAATGCAAAAAAGTTAGATTCCATTTGTAGTTAAACAAATGACTTGATTCATATTCATTTTTCCCGTAAAAAGTATGATATTGACTTGAACTATATTCATTTTTTCCCCAAAAAAATAAGATTTGACCCAATCCATATTCATGTTTTACTACTAAAAGAGTGGACTTTGACATTTTGTACACAAAAAATGATCACATGTGAATCACGTGATCATTTTAGGCTAACAAGTGATCGAAAACTTAGGTTGGTACCAAATTTTGCTAATTTGAATTTGTACGAACGTAAAGTTAACATTTTAAAGGTGAAGGAGGAAAAAATTCATTTGGCAAAATGTGAGAAAAGTTTTGAATGATGTTCCCTAATCACACAAATTACTAGCTACCAAAAGGGGCTATTAGAGTTTTTCTTGCTATCAGATCTTGGATTCGAATTTTACGCTTGGCAATTGGGGTGTGGAGGGTATTGGGAAGGTGGGAAGGTTTAAAAAAAACCAGCTAAAAAATATAAATGAAAAAGAACAAAATGTGATTAATAAATATATAAAGTGGTTCCATAGACTTTTTATTTTAAAGCAAGAATTAACATTTTCATTGATTCAAAAAAATGATTACGCAATGATGCAAAATGGCTTAAAGTACATCAAGGATCACTGTAACAAGGCACAAAAAAGAAAGAAAGAAACATAAAAAGCTTGAAAAGAATGTGACTTGCGTCGTGTTTCCTTCTTCTTCAATTATGTTAGGTACAAACTTTGAATGTATGAGCATTTTCAAAGTGATATGTTATTTATATCTTTATTTTATCCCTTGTACATTACTAGCGAATGAATTACATTGCTTGAGTTCATTTAGGGTCTAGGACTAGTTAAAGTTACTACATATTTTTAAGTAGCTAGGGATTTGAAGCGAAGTTCATTTTAATGGCTTTAAGGTACAAGATAAGTACATGAAAAATAATGAGTTTATTGATAGGTATGAAATAGGTGTTTTTCAGTGTGTTGTTCACTGTATAATTGTATTTTCGGGTGTTTTTAAAAATTTAAAACTTTTTTTAAGGATATTTTTACAATTTTTACTATTTCCCAATTCTCTTCTCCCTCTCTTCCTCTTAAGGAAAAACACGGGGAAGGGAGGGGATGGGGAAAACAGAGAGGAACAAAGGAAAATGGATGGTAAGGGAGGCAGGAGGAGAAGGAGAGATGGTAGGACTAAGGGTAGTGGTGGCAGGAGGTGAGAGGTGATGGTGGAGGAAGAAAGGGTAGGTCTCTTATTTGGTATGTAAATTGAGTTTTAAGTTAAGGCTAGTATCCTCATTTCCTAAAAACAAGGAAAACAAGTGTAATATTTAAAATAAGAGGAATGCTAAGCGAAATTGTTATAAAAGCCCAAGGGTGGTTTATGAAATTATCCCTTTCTTTTGTGGTTTTTCTTAGGTAATATACAGGAAAAATCTCCTGCAATTAAGTAAATCTACAAAAAAAGCCTCATATAGTTTCAAAATATATATTTCAGTACCCGTGATATGACTAATTTAAAAAAGAGTGAAAATCATTTGAATTAATTAGTTTGAAATACACGCTTCTCTTTTGCAAGCATTTATACTAGAAACACTCAAATTTTCAGTAGATATACCTATTGTACACTTAGAATTATATTTAGAAAAGTCTCCTGTGGTTTGAAAAAACCCTCTATGGTTTGAAGTCCCCTGCCATTCAGCAAACCTATAGAAAAAACTCCTTATGATATTTCAAATCATACAATTTGGTACTTCATGGTTTGAACTAATGTGAAATATCGATAAAAATCATTTAAATTAATGAGTCTGAGTGTGCTTGAACTAGGAAATAACTTTTAAAATCAAATTTTTAGCTAATATCATATTAAATCCCTTAGAGCTCATAAAATTCTCAAAAACAATCCAAAACTCCCAAACACAATTTACCTCATTTCTATACATAAAATAAATAAATAAATAATCCCAAATACAAGTCAACTTATTCTACACACAAAATAGATAAATAAAAAATGCCCAAATATAGCTCAACTAATTTGCATACACAAGATAAATAATAAATATAAATATACCACCCTCATCTCTTCCTCCACCATCACTGTTCACCTTCCACCGCCATCCTCCCTTCTATCACAACACCTTCCTCCCCCCTCTTCTCCTCTCCCTTGCATCCCGCTCCCTCTCGTCTCCTCCCAGCCATTTCTACTTCTCCGAACTCTCTCTCGTTTCAGCGACCATAGCTAGCCATGGGAGAGAGGGAACCGGGTGCAGGGAAGGGATCACGACCAGATTGCCCCTTTCTCGCACCCCATGCCCTCCCTCCTATGATAATTTTGGTCATGGGAAGCAGGTGAAGAGATGCGAAAAAGGGGACTGCAACGGGAGGGAATAGGGGGTGCAGGGGAAGGAAAGAAAGAGAAAGAGAGAGGAGGAAAAAGGAGACGGATAGGGATGTGGTAGAGGGGAGGGTGGCCATAGAAGGTGGAGAAGCAATTGGTAATCATAAGGGATTTTTCCGTAGGTTGGATTAACTAACCACAAGGGTTTTTTCATAGGTTTGCTTAACTAGGATGTTTGTTAGAAGGTTTTTTTTTTGCTTATATATATACATATATATATATATATATATATATATATATATGTATATATATATAAAAGAAATTGTGTTATTTTCCTCCGCTTCTATTAGTTATGATAATTTTATTGCTGTTTCAAATTAGTTCAAACCACGATGAGTTGGAGTATATGATTTAAAATCATAGGAGCTTTTTCATAGATTAGCTTAATAAGAGTGATTTATTTTGTATTTTACACTTCTTCTTAAGCATCGATTCTTCGCATGTCTAATCTCGACCATTAACTTTTTGACCAATCATTCTTCCTCTTTATTCTAGGTAGATTATAATGTTACGAAGGATAGGTAGTCTATAGTGTTGGACTCCACTTTAATTCAACAGTGTCCGGGGCCATTTATTTAATTCTTACGGAATTGCAATTCGACATATTGCAAAATATGGAATTTTAATTCTGAAAATCTTCTGCAGACACGTTTTGTTTATGTAACTCTTATAATTGTATCCTTCCCTATCTTATTCACAACTTCCTGCCCATCCTATTCTAACAACTTCCAAGCCGAATTCTGAAGATTTAAATTCAGTAATCATCATGGATAATGTGTAATAAGGTCCTTCGGCAATGTCATGTGCTTACCTATAAATGCTTTAACTTCATCACTTCATGCTATTGTTTAGAAATCAGTATCAATAAATTTCTCTTTAAGAACCTTTACTATTCTCTTAGATTATGATGACAAAACGTTTTCATGTATTACCCCAGTAGGAAGTCTTGTGTGGTGGTTTAGTTATTATATGGTGGATGGAGTCCGGATCTGCAAGTCATTGGCCTGAGCAAGTGAAGCGGTGGAAGGAAACGGTAATTATAGGGTCGCAGCAACATATGTGCAATTTGGTATTGAATTATTTCAAAAGTAGTTTGGGCATTTGAAGCAGAATTACTCTATAAGTAAGATAATTGCTCTAATGACATCACCAATCTAAAGTGAATTCAAGTATGATCCTTTTTTCAATAATTTTTTTTTGGGTAAGTTGGATAGTTGTAGATTTTGTTTATAAACAAAAATCAATTTTATGGGTTTGAGTAAATGATTTTCTAGGATTTATCCGTGTAATCTCCTCGGGACCATACCACCCTATTTGCCTATAGATACACCTCCAGTTAAATTTGAAGAGAAATCAACACGTTGTGTACAAAAATACATACAAGTTCGTAAATTTACAAATTAAGTCATTTGATAAGTTTAATAGCTGAATAACCAGAGACTTTACAGTCATAATATTGTCCTGTGGCTTCTATTTACCCTTTGTTATTTCTTGATCAAAATGCGTGATGATTCGAATGAATATTAAACCACTTATAGTAACAACTATTTGGTTTATTATACCCAGACCATATTCCACATAAAAAACTCGACTTGGAAGTCATGACACGTAAAGATCACAAAGACAAATTTCAACTTTTTCGAGTGTAACAAACTCGCTCAAAATTTGCCGAGCAACATTCTAATGGAGTCATGAGATACGCTTCGTCTATAGACTTCTCGACATGAACAATGAATCAGCTTGCAATGCCAAGAGAATTTCCATTACCAAGAGGTGTTAGGCCAAAATCCGAAAGAATATCAGGTATTATAAGGCTGCTTTTGTCATTATTGCTGCATAAAATGAGGCTAGCCTAAACATTATAGATGACAACCAATAATCTTACTACAGCAACAAAAGAAATTTCAAGAGAAGAAAGTGGGACTTCATGGAGGATGACTCCACGAGTACTGCTAATCATTTCAAAGATCGTTGAAGACTGCAAATAAATCACCACTGATGTAATCATTATCAACCAAGCTGACAAGAAGTACGTGTCTCGCACCTACAAGGATAAGGAAGCAACCACGTGAAATTTTTGGTCCCATACAAGGAATTGGAGGTAGCCAATGAGTGTTCTACATCCAGGACCAAATGGAAAAATGGGAAATGGAAAATCAGGCAAAAATAGAAATGATAGCCAATTATGACTAGCAACTCAAGACAATCATTAATCCATGATAAGCAACATAACATGCAATTAATTGCTTTTGTAATCAATGTGTTGTAAATGTTTAGACTAATTGCACATAAGCAAATTGTGTCACCTACCACTACTCTTCAGTCTTACTGTTGTTGATCCAAAGAGATGAACCTGAATTCTCTAGTTTTGAATATTTTACATCAAGAAATAAGAAAGCAATTGCAGTAGACTTGATGCCCGAAAGATATACTAGACAAACGACACAAGTGATATCCTACAATGCTTAATTAACTAATTGTATCCCACTCCTAATTCCTTCTAACAATCATCTTACAATCCATAAGAACACACATACGCACATAAGAAAGCAATTGCAGTAGACTTAATGCACGAAATATATACTAGACAAACGAAACAAGTGATATCCCACAATGCTTGACCAACTAATTGTATCCCACTCCTAATTCCTTCTAACAATCATCTCACAATCCATGAGAACACACATACACCTATCTACGCTACAACTATTCATCAAATTTCAAAATCAATTTGCTTCCTGGTTAAAACATATGCCACAGACCATGTACTATCAATCATCAAACATTTCTCCACTATTGTGAAATGCAGCAGACAAAGCTGTAAGAGATAATATAGAAGGAGAGCAAAGTATTTCCAGTATCCTGATCATGCAAATTTGACGGACATCAATAACTGCAGGGGCGCAAATGCTTCATACCCAAACCCCTCCACTGCCTCAGTGCCATTAGACAAACCTCTGAGATACGGAAAACTATCCGTCAAAGTAAATGCTACTCCCACTTTGAAGCATAAATTTTTTATCAATATTTAATTTTGACATTTTTGCAACATAATGTTCACAAAATGAAGGGTAGAGAAATGACATATAGACATCAATGATTTTTTATTTATCTTACTTGAATCGGGGAGAGGGTTTTGTTGGGGGGGGGGGGCGCGGCAATTTGCACCAATAAGGTGTAATGGCAATTGATCTCAACCAAACATGGTAAAGTCAAACCAATCCAGCAATGTTTAATAGACGGAACAAAAACGATATATCTTCACGTTTGTAAGATTCAATTGATTTTTATTTCATTTACTTGTGTTAGGGGAGAGGGTTGGTAGGGGTGGGAGGACTTGTTTTTACTGTTGTCATCCCAAATATTGTACAAATATTTTAGTCCTTCAGTAAATAGCAATGCTTTAGAAGTATAAGAAGATTGACATACAATAGACATAAAGAGATGAAACTAACCTCTTCAAGCAGTTTTCTGGACGGGTCAGCCTCTGGGTATAATTGAGCCCATGCTCTTGACCAAATTTCAAATGCCTCATCCTTCCACACCACAAAGCTGGAAGGATCCACAACGGTAGGTTGTATAATCTCCTTTGCAGGGAAGACTCCCCATGTAACAGCATTCACATCAGTTTGGTTGGTGTTTGAAATCCAACTTCCCGCTTTATCCACAGCCATATAGGTGAATGGGTATGCTTTGCATCTCTCAACAAGAGAGTTCAAAGCAGAAAAATTCCAAGTAGGCCTTCTGATAAACATATCCACCTGGCCCCATCCTGCAAACCATGTTTACATACAGAGCAGTTAAAAGTCATTTTCTCAAGAATTCCTTATATCCGATCTATTAATACCAATGTTGATCAACAGATTCCCGGATCAACGCAAAGACATTAAATTACTGCTCTAGTTTGATCCCTATTTTCTTTGATCTAAAGAAATTTATCAACTTCATAGAAGTAAATAGTGCAGCAGTCAATCCCATTCCTGAAATACCCAGCAAATTCAATATCTACTTGAAGAGTTTATAATGGAGTTTGACCCACAAAAGGGACGTGCAAATGTTAAAAGTTTCTATTAAGAAAAAATTCATTCAAAAAGAATACTGATTTTCAGCATGTGAGGATCTGTTTCCACCTGACCCAAACTTTAGGAGGAAAAGGGAAGACAGGGTCCCAGGTATTACTCTTGAACAAAATTAATAAAATAAAAAATCTGCATTCCAGGTAAGAAACAACTCACCAAGAGATGGAGTGTCAGACTTTACTCCATTAACTGCTGGGTGTGCTGTTGATTGTTAGGAAACCTTTTAAGTTTATAGCACCCAGGTGTTCATTTATGATCCTTGTCTCTGGCTGAAGGCCATCTAATTCGGACCATGGGCAGCTTCTTAATTGCCCGAGACAAAATTGCTTAAATTTCTGATTTGACGAAATTCATCAAGAATCAGAGCTTCCGCAGAAACAGTATTTTCTTCAGATGAATGTAAAAATGTAACGAGTAATTGTACCTCATAAATATCCTGTAAACTTCTTAGAGGGACAACCCATTCTTCTGAAAGTCTCTTACCACGTGCACGGGCCTCATGAACTGTTTAAAATTTATGGCATAGCCACATGATGGAATATATAATAAGATGAATTAAGCATCAACAACTTGGTAAAGGTCCATAAATCTAAACAGAAGGTGATATGATTTATTTCTCCCTGTAAAACTTTCTCTAAAAACATGGATGAAAACAAAGGTCATTCTATTACTCATTCTTTGTTGCACATGAGAAAGAATTTTCACCAATTTAAAATAATTACACACAGGTAAAGGGCCTGTTCTCATTTGCTTCAAGATAGTTCTAATTTTGTATTTAAACTAAAGGATGCTTTCAGTTTTTCTTTTGAAACAGAAAGTTGTTGTCTCTATGAGCACCTTGGAGGAGCTTTCTAGAGATTGAACTTTATAATAAAATGTTACTTCTAATGTTTCAAACAACTTTTGAAAAGTCAATCTGAAGTGCTCTAAAAAAATCAAGGATGGTAGAATGGGCTGTAACTCCTCAGAGTTGTCAATAGCTGGAGTAGATTCAAAAGTTAATGTCCATTATAGGGTTCCCATTACCAGATTTTGATTATCCTTCTTCCTGTGACTTGGTATTTAGTTGGAGATACAGATCAACTCCTAAAATTAGGAACTCAAACAAACATATGATCTTTTGAGAAACCATGAGAGGATATGAACATCTGGCACAAAAAGGATCATTAAACAGAAGACTACCAGAAAATGATCCATCAGACCATAAAATCTCCCTGTACCATATAAAGAAGTCAAGTTGTTCTTTATCCACTTGAATTTCTAAACCTTTAATTGCACATGTACCAGGAAGGCTTCTTATTATAGGATCCTCGCAAAAAGCTACTTAAAAGGAGGGGGGAAAGATCTTTAGGAATGCTTACTATCCTCATGGATTTCCTGAATTTCAACAGAGCCAGAGTCATATAGGAGTTAATTCAGTAATTCCAGCCACTTTGAAATATATTCTGCTGACTCACAGCATATGAAGAGTAGAAGATCAGATGGGACAGTGCCTCTCATAATGGATCATTAAGTTAGACAGTAAAAAGTAGGAGGTAAATCTCTTGATTGAAGTTGAAACTACCTATGACTCAGCAATGGTTCAGTCAGAAAATCTGTCCTCATGCTAAGAATCTAAAATTATCAGAATGCTTTAAGGAGGTCTGTATAGTTTGCCATTTTTTACAGGGAAGAAAAAACTTTTAAAATCCTATACTAACATTTCACTTATTTCTAGTAAATAAAGATCGGAATCAACAAGCTGTAGTGGCAAAATTATTAAATCAACTATGTAGGGCTTTAGACCAAGGCATGGACTTGATCATCAAAATTATAGCCTTCCAACACTTCCTCTTGACAATCATATAAAAAAAACGAAATTTCAAATAGTCTCTTTTCTACTTCAGCAAGCACCATTCCCTAAACGCAAAGCTCTGCTAGATTTTATGGATAGAAGTTTACAACTTGCAGAACTATGATGTCTTCTATGGAAACAGGTTACAATTGGAAGGCAAAACAGAGGAAGAGAAACATTTACAATCACCTAAGAATTAAAAACCTATGCAATGGCAGATAAAGTACAAAAAACTACATAGCACCCCAAAGAACTAGGAGATGATAACATATGCTTAGGCAGAAAGTGAAAAGTAAAAGTCAATGACTTTAAAATATAAAAAGAAAAAAAAAGTTATTAAGATCTCCATACTTGATAGTCAGAAAGTGCTCCATATGATGCATTTCGAGAATCACCCCATCGGCCATGTGGGTAATGTTCCCAACCTATGGTCCTTGAAATATAGCTCTTTGGACGATTGCCCTGCAAAGTAGAAAAAAGATGAAATGTTGAGTTTTCGTAATCATCCACATAATAGATGAAATCACTAAGACAGAGAGAGAGAGAGAGAGAGTGCAAAAATGGGCTGATGCAGTATTATATACCAAAATATAGGGCGAACATCTTCTAACACGATAAATATTAGTGGGACGTCTCCAAGCAATGTCCTTGAAATCTTTGATTCCTCAATCAGACCAAGATTCTACACATGCAAGCTTTCATAAGCCACTAACTTCCAGCACTATACTAATAATGGAAATGACTAGATAACCCACACAGGATAATGAGAAATGACAACAAACCATCAATATAGCCAATGCAGACTTCTCCATGTTTAATGTATAGAGATGCAATGTCTTGATTCCACTAGCCAAAATCCTCTTGCACATTTCAGTTCCAAGGTGAATCCCGTAGTTTCTCACAGCTTCTTCATTGTCCTTGATAGGCTCTAAGGCAGCAGTAATCTCAGGAGGAATCTACAATTATTCAGTAAACTTAGTATGGAACTTAAACGCACAAGCACCTAATGTTGTCTGAGTAACCACATAGTTCAACAAGTTGCCAATCACTTAAAATGAAATTAACCAGCACTAACTAGAGATACTGATTTGTATCAATTCTGCATTCCCACATAGTTGCTATTTGAATAAATCGAAATTGTCATCATTCTTCATATGTTAAATAAGAATGAGCAGAACATTTATTTACTACTACAATGACTGTTAAGCATAGTGAGGTAAACTAATGTGTCAACTTAAATGAGAACTGTTAGGACTAATACAACATATGCTTTAAAGAAGTTGACATATTACATATCTAAATACCTAGTATCATGCATAGAGAGGAATAAACTTATAGAGGTGGAAGGTATGCAGAAAAGATTCACAACCTTAGATTTTAAGGCTCACAATGACCAGAAGACTAATTGTGATCTGATTATTAATTCTTGCAAATTGTATATGTCCAGTAGTATGTTAGAGTAGCTGCATAGAAATAAGTGAATTTTCACTCACTAGAAAGACTCTCAAGTGTTAAGATTTTAAAGTATAATAGAAAAAATTGATGCACAAGATAAAAAATTATCTGTCTTGTGTACAAATGACCTTCTAAAAAAGCACATTTGCCCACATAACTCTTGATCTTTGTGAAAGAATGCTATTAATTGCAACCTTTACCTTAGTCTTGCAAAAGCCGGTCATACGAAGGAAGCCCCTGTAATTATTGATGGGCATAATCCCAGGAACAATAGGGCAAGTTATGCCAATTTGGCGACAGTCATTAACAAATTTGAGGAAATATCAGTATCATAGAAGAGTTGAGTTATAATAAGATCAGCTCCAGCATCAACCTGCAGAAAATTTCAGAATCAACCACCATAAGCAAAAAAAGTTTAAGTTCCCACATCCAAACCTCTGGAAAAAGCCAAAAGGAATAAATTAATCACAATTCAAAAGACAGCGTCATATCAAGGGCTAAATACAAACCTTTCTCTTCAGATAGGCAAGGTCGCTTTGATATGCCTCAAGCGAGGCAATCCCATTAGCAGGTATAACATCAGGATGAGCCTCTGAGCAGGAAAGGACACCACATTAACATCATGGTTACACTCTTTACACTAATACATCAACACAGCATCGTCCAAAACAACAACTTGAATTACTCAAAACCCACCTGGATAACCAGCAACAGTGATCCCAAAATAATCCATATTTGGCACGAATATGTTTCACCTAAATAGATTAAACAGCTCAAAACTACTCATCACCAACATCAAAATGTAGCCAGAGTTCGCACCCAACTAGCACTAAATGGTACTATGCACAGTAAACATTAACGATGTTATCAAACAAGCGTAAAACAATCAACATCAACTTAATTGAATGAGCAACAATCAGAACATAACGAACACAATCAGAATCAAACTCAGAGGCAAACTTACCAGGTCGAGAGCGCAGGCAAAGCCACCTTCCACTTGGACGAACTTATCCTGGCCATGAGGGGGATCTCCCCGCAAAGCAAGGACATTCTGGAGCCGTTGGATTTTATAGCATCCAGAGCGTGATCAATTTTCTCCACAGGCATATTGGTACACGTCAAGTGCATCATGGTCTCGACGCAGACCATATTCTGCATCCGATTCGCGATCTCCAGCGTCAGATCGCCGTGGATCCGCCTGCACCCCACGTGATATCACAGAAATTCGGGTTATGGACGACCATCCTCTCCATTCTTTCGAACAGGTTGTCGACGCCATCTTCTGTCTTGGGTGGGAAGAATTCGAAGGAGAAAACAACCTTGTTTTCGTCCTTGGCGGCCTTCTGGATCTTCTCAATCACCTTCATTATCAACGAAATTTAAATCCAATCGAAAATATGTATACCTCGATTGATCTGTCAATGCTCCAGCGGTGTCGGCGAGGAATTCCCGACACAATGCTGCTGTAGCAGTAGCTTTCTGTCAAGCCAAAAAATCACACCAAGATAAGTAGAATTCGCTAGCGTGGAGGAAGGAAGAAAGGAGAATAGAGCTCAGATCTGTGCGTGGGGAATTTGGGGTGATTTATAGGGTCAGTGGCTTGCTCTCTCTCGCCAACTGCTTCACCACCAACTCCTGTGTCGACTGTGGTCCTAATTGGTTGTCATTTGTATTCTGTTTCCATTTTTACTTTTGGAATAATTTACAAAGCTCCCCTGATGTTTGGCTTAATATCACTTAGCATCCCTATAGTTTTAAAATCTTTCTTGTCTCCCTTATCAGATTGACAAGATTTCTTCATCATGGATAGAAAATGATGATATTACATCTAAAAATCCTTAATTGATTAAAAAATTCAAAAAAAAAAGGAATTTGGAAAAGCAACAACAATTAACAAACTACTATTTATAATTATGACATTTTTTAAATCCTATAGAATAAAAGGTAAGGAACTTCTAATACTACTATTATCTAAAGCAATCAAATATATATTAGAAGCAAATATATCTTATTTGGATTTCTTTCATTTTCAAAATCCTGACTGTCACCTTCCTATTGTAATTAATAAAATCTATTCTTTATACTAAACGATATTGGTGAATTATAAGAGTGCTTTTTAATATTAGAACTTGTAATGATTTGTTACAATATTTGCTACTAATTTCCTCTTAAAGTGGCTCCTTTGCCATTAAACTTGTATTTCTTATTTGTTGTCTTGCTGTCTTTATAATCTTAAAGTTGGAGTATTATCATCGCAAAGTTGTAAAATTACTTATGTGCTGCAACTTTTCCTTACTGCACTTACATCTCTTTCAATTGGTCTTTTGCTTATTAGTTTATTTTAGTTTGTTGCTTTCATATTCATATAAAGGATAAGAAGGGGTACAAATTAAAGTAAATTATGTTATCTCTCCTCATCTATGAATTTTTTTTAATGCACAAGGGCTAACAATGTTACAAAACATGCCAATCAATGGGAAATAAGAGAGATTTTTGAAATCACGAGAGCACTAAGTGATATTAAGGAAACCACAGAGGAGGTTTGTGAATGATCTTTTTTCTTTTTTATGCATGTGAAAAAAATGGAGTAACTTTTATTGCCTGAAGTTTGAAATTGTTGATGCATTGGAGTTTGGACCGTCTGGCATGTTCCATTATTGCAAGTAAATCCTTTTCAAGATTCCTCACAAAAGGAAAAAATGGAAAAGGATTTAAGTGCTGAAATAGTCCTTGAGATACTTTAGTTGTCTTAATGTAATTCTCAAATATTTAGTTGGGTCTTGTCATTCCAACCAACGGTTTTCAACCGGCTTTTTGATGTCTAACAAATTAGAAACTGTTTCGGGCAAAAATCGTACAACATGTGAGATGCTGAAGCCAAGAATAGGTACCACAGCAAACTCGTCACAAGTAACTTCTATTCATTTAGAAATGTAAAGGGAGAATGAAAGAGTTAAAAGAAAATTAAGGGAATAGATAGGAGAAAGGCTAAGGTGGTAAGTCGTGCTTGATCCTACACGTTTCAAGAACGTTTGAGAAAGGCTGTGCAGTGATAGAAGAGAGTACGAGTGATTATAAGGATCAATAGCATTGAGTTGCGAGAGAAATTATACGTGAATAAGGGGTTAGTCCTTGAGAAGAAAGTGATGGACACAAAAATAAATAAATGAATAAAAGTGATTGGAGCGGGATATTAGGGAAATTATTGACATATGAAATTTTTGAAAAACAAAAAAGAATTTACGACGGCATTTTTATGTTATGTGGCCGAATCTCACCAATCAAAAGTAAATGATTTTAAAAGTGATGAATTAAAAATTTTCTATTTTGGTTAGCGTAGAATAGTTAAATAATCTAAGAGGAATTATACTAAAGCCTACGAAAAATCAACGACCAAATAACAAATAAGGAATAAGAGGTACTAGCCTAAACATAAAAAGAGCAAAGGGAAAAAGGAAAGGTAAGGAGAACCAAATTCTTAATTCAATTGCTTGCAAGTAAAGAGAATTAGAGAAAATATTATTGCAACGTGGTAATCTACAGGCTAGACCCAAATCTTAAATGGCAAGTTGATACACCATCACTGTTGGTAAGCTATAAATGATAAGCGATCTTAAGTAGTCTTTAGTTGTACAGTATTTGTATGTTATACGAATTAATGAAACAACACAATAAAGTGTGAGTTGTACCTCAAATCATATATGCAAACCATTGATCCCGTAAATCACTTGTGCAAGCTCAAATATGGCTGTGATTTAATGGTGCAATAATAGCTATAAAACTCATTTGTGGTTATGTGTAAGGCTGCGAATGAATTAAACCGTCTGTGAGCCGTTTTAATCAAAACTCGATTTGAGATCGGTCAATATGAAATTCGAATTGAGATAGAGTTGACTAAATTAAACTATCGAACTCAAGTCGAGTATAGAGAAACTCAACTCGCAAGTGTATGTTTACATATATATAAATTTTATTTTAATAATGAAATTACATATATATTCCTAACATTTTTATTATTTATTAAGGAACAATGACGATTTTAGTAATTTTTTAAAAGATAAAATAATTATTTTTTTAAAACTCGAGTAGGCTTGAACTCAAACTCGATTAGCTTCGAATTTGAGGATGAATTCAAACTCAAGTTTTACATTAAAAACTCGTTTGATAACTTGATTAGGTTAAAGTTCAACTCGATCATATTCCATTGCAACCTTAATTATTTGAATGAGCTTATTTATCCTTAGACTACCTATTAACTATTTTGTTTGCTTTGCATGTTAAAAAAAGGTTATACAGTTTTATTGTTTGTTAAAATGGGAAATTTGTTTTTGGATTGCCATTTCATAAAAATAAGATATGTCTATATAGCAGTGTGTCTCGTAGAGTTGAAGGTAAAAATGATGTAAATGTGTAATGTTTAGGAATTGTTTTTCTATAAATAATATTGTTTTCAAAATTGACTCGTACATTTTCCAATTTCCACACATATATGTATTTTTTTTCCTTGGAAAATGTCCATACAAGAATCGTTTGAATATCCAAGTAGGAACATCTAAGTAAGATAGAAAAATAAATCTACGGAAGTTTGGATGGACGGTTCTCTAAAAGCTGTCATAATTTGAAAGAAAAGTACTCCATTTGTGAAGGGGCTAGAATCACAAGAGAATATATTTGAGGGGCTGGTTTGATAATACCGAAATTGAGAAGTAAGTATTTCTACAAAGGGTGTTAAAATGGTTAAAAATGCAATGTGAGCATGTCTAAATTAGATAACGGGTAGATTCAGTGGCTGGGTCCCACTCTCCTACCTCAACTCAACAACCCAGGACTTGGAGACCAAAGATATGTGATTTCTGCTGCATCTGTAAAAATTATATTAAAATTTCTCTAACTGTGATTTACATCCTCACGAGGTCAAATTTTGATCTAACTAATTATCCTCTTCTTTATTTTTTCCTTTTGACCATTAGGGATGGGTAGTCCGATGCCACAATTGCTGCATCTTCTAATGGAAAACACCTACTGTAAAAAAAAAAATGGAAAACACCTACTCTAAAAATAAAAAATGGGAAAATAAAGTCCAAAATTTTAGACAAAACATAAAACAAAATAAAAGAACTACAAATCCAATGGCTTTACCGTTATATACCCTTCTTATTACTAATAATAAAGACAAAATTGTAATGGTTATTTGCCATTTCTTTAACTTTAGTTCATTGAAACTTCTTTTGATGTCAAAATTTGAAAGATTGACTTGGAAACAATTTGTTTGGTACCATAGGCAGAAACCTCGGGAGCCTAGAGAAAATGCTCCCAAATTTCATCTGCAAGAGCTAGTAGCCCAAAACCTCTCAAACTTAACCCAAATTACACCTGATTTCCTGAACCTTATAAATTTTGGGACTAATTACAACAACTTCCTCTCAGGTATAGTAAATTTTGCACTTTATTTTCTTTAATACTATCTCTTATACTTTACCCAAGATCACTAGTCAATTCTAACATTGTATGACAACAATGTAAAAAAGATGTTCATATTCCCAAGGATTAATTAAAGTAAATCTCCCTCAAATTATAACAAGTTTTACACTTCACCCCTAGCATTATCTTTTTCTTTCTTTGTGGGTTTAGCTGCAAGGCCTATAGTTAACATTAGGAAAAATGACACCAATCATCTCTTACATTTCATCATCGTAATTTTTTAGTACTTCACATTCAAAATGAAGCATTTTAGTCCTTAAACATAACAAATGCACAATTTTAGTCCCGAACAACATTTTCCAGCGTATTTTCACTTGAAAAATTTTTGGGATGCATCACATATCCAAATAACAAGGGAAAAAATAGACAACCCACCTAATATTTAACCTAAATTTGCATCACCATCTCATGTGCAAAATAAGAGCAGAAAAAAGGACCAAATTTTCACGGCAATTAAAAATATACAATAAAAACAGTTAACTAAACATTAAATTAGCAATCTAAATATTACAAAATTAAACTTGTACGCCAATACTCGAAGTTGATCATATTTTCTAGCACAGATGCATCTGTTAGTCCTTACACTCTAGCTTCCTTCCCTGGTCTTCTCCTTCTTAGCTTCGTCCAAACTCATGTCCAAGTCTGAATTTCTTATCTCTTCCTAAAAGACTACACTATATCAAAATCTTGTTCATGAAAAGACAAAATTACCAATTTTAGTTAAACACATTATGCATTCCAATTTGTTATTGAATTAAAAATTTCCATTTCCAAAATTACAAAATTTTAAAGTGAGATTTCAAGAAAAAAGAATGAAAGAAAAGATTGATTGAGTGAGGTGTAAAAACAATTCCTCTCAATTGCAAATTTTTAAAAAAATGTCATTCAATTCACAAATTACTCCAAACTATTGAAGCAGACCCAAGAGCAATAGGAGGAGGATTGAATTAGGTGGTAAGGTGGAAGGGATTATAAATAAGAGATCCTGAAATCAAAACCTCCTCATTAAAAAAAAAACAAGAGGTATAGAGGAAAACTTACAGGTCACCAATAGATAATACTTCCTCCGACCCAATTTTTTAGGGTTAATT